CATAAAGTCTGCGACTGCCAGATTAACCAGAAACATATTGGTAATGGTCTGTAAGTGCTTATTGCGCCAAACGGCATAACAAACAAGAAAGTTTCCTGTCAGTCCAACCACGAAGACAATTAAATAAAGTATGATTAAAAGCCATTCGTAATGATTCGGAAACACGTATGCATGTATTTCTTCCAGAGCTTTTTCATCCGACCAACAATAAATATTTTGACATGATGTATTTGGACTGTTGCCATCTTCATTATTTATTTCTGTCGGATATTCCTCCAATTTTTGGAGATCTCCCTGTGTGAGATTTTCCATTGGTTATTCCGGGCAGGAAGTGGAAACAATATGTCGATGTTAGATTAGTTTCTCGATCTGAAATACAAAATAAACAAAAAAAATGTTATTTGGAAACTAGAGAGATCAATATCAAAATAAATATTTATTTTATTTATATTCGCTCACACTTTTTCAAACTGACTTTATTGAACTCATCTTTGTATAAAATGTTAAATTTAGTTCAGCCATTGAACTGACTATTCTAATGAAGAGATTCGCCAGTTGAACATGATTATCGCAGTATAGTTGGCACTCATTTTTATTGTTGGATAGATTGCATTATTAACTTAGTTTTTACTCATATACAGCAGATATTTTAATTCATTCAACATTTAAAGTGAGGAGATTCTATAGAATTAAAAGTCCTCCCAGGATTTATTATTTGCAACCACAATTTTAATTAACATAAGATATACAGATGACATGGAGTTTATAGCAGCCACAAAAAGGAAACTACAAGAACACCTATAGAGACTAGTAAAGGAAAGCGAGAATGGATGAGTAAAATTCAATTGCAGGACAGAATCCATGGTTGTTACCAAAAGGGTGAAGCCAACATGCAAATTACAAATTAAAGATACCAAAATCAAAGTACAATAATTTAAATATCTGGGAAGTGATTTAGCAGGAGACGAAAAGTACGACACTGAAATTCGAAGGTGCATTGAGATAGCGAAAGCTGCTTTTCAAAAGCTAATCAAAGTATTAAGAAATAGGAATATTTTATCAGAAACCCAAAATAAATAAACAGTACTGAACTGTTACGTAGTACCAGTCCTCGTATATGACGGTGAGTACTGGACATCCTCACAGATGAAAAAGATTTGGAGCAAAAGAAATGTGTTTCTACAGAAGGATGCTGAGAATACCATGGACTGAATACGTGAGCAACGACGTAGTTTAGAGAATATGAAAACAAAAAGCACAATATCGAACAACTATGTAAAGGAAAGCATGCATTTAAGTAAGAAAAGTTTGAATTAACCTAGAGATGTCTCTCTTTATCTGTTATTTTAGTGTTCCAAAGTTCACTGGAAGAATGTTCATGAGAGTCTCTTGTAATGATTGTTCTTGAAAGATATTGCTGTGTAAGAAGATTTCATGTGAGTGTGTACAAAGTATGTTCAGCATGTGAGTGGTATGCATGAGTGAGAAAGTTGGCGCATGGTTTCAACTGTCGTGGATTCGTTTGGCAGTTGAATTCTCATTAGTTAGGATTAGAAAAATCTTGGCTTAAATAAGCAACTATAGGCTCCAAATCGTTGCGCGGGAAGAATTATTCTTCACGATCAAACGATCTGATTGGTTGGCATTGACCAATCAGCGAGCAAGCTTTGGGGAAACTTAAGAAAAGCTTCTGTGATCCGTTTCTCCCAAAAGTGCACAAAATTGACTACTTAAAATTAGAACGATTACAAAATTGTCGCATTACTGTGATTTGTAAATTGCCTGTAGTAATGTAGTGGTGATTTATTAACAAATGAATGCTTGGCGTTGTATGTGATTTGTATTTTTGTATGTATGTTCGTTCGTAATAGATCCGCACACTATCATGCTATTGTTTAAAACGATGAAGCACAGGCTGTACTGTTTGTCATCCCGAGAGAGTTTGACATTCAGTCTGGCATTCAGGTCGTCTCCACAAACCGAAAAGCTACTGTTTCACCGGGTACGTCTTTAAGCTGATCCAGTGATTCCTATCAAATCGTGAAATGAAAGTTATCCTGAACTGCAACTCGTCTACATCCTTTCTTACTAACTTTCTTTTCCAAGGTCCTGTCCTTGGTGTTACGCTTTTTTTAATCTTCATTAACGACCTTCCCGATGACATCAGCTCCTAACTTGGCAACTACACTGACTAGACATTTACTCCTGTCCCAATAGCAAATTAAACTTCTGTCTATTAATCATCTGAGAGACTTGTTTCTGCCTTCTGTCAACATCGTTGATGCTATCCTCCAAGAAAATGGGCCATTGCGCCTCCTCGGGCTCACGTTCTCAGCAGACATGAGGTGGAAAAACTACATTGAATTCATTGCTAGATCAGTTGCTAAGAAAGTCGGTGGACAGTGTCGGGCGAGACAGTTCCTTTCCGGAATCTATCTTGCATATCTATAAGTCTACCATTCGTCCATGCTTAGAATATTGCTGCTATATATTGTCCGGTGCCTCTGATATTTTTCTGGAGATCCTTCCCAAGATCAAAAGAAGAATCAGCAATATTATTGGTTCTGATCTAGCGGCTCGGCTTCAGTCACATGCCCACCGCCGTAAGGTTGCCTCCCTGTGCCTTTTTTATAAATATTTTCATGGTAATTGTTTGAACAAGCTCTTCGCTATGGTACTTAGACTGTATGAATTTAAGCGCAATGCTAGACTGGCGTCGAGATCTCATCAATGTACAGTTGAGCTAGCTATGTAGATGTAGCCGTAGCTTCTATGCTAACAGTTTCTTATCTCGCACTTTTTGGAAATCCCTCCTAGTTCCATGCTTTCCAACAAACTTTAATCTGAAAAAATTTAAATGCAATGTCAATCGTTTCCTAACGTCCTCCTGGCTGTTCATTTATATATCTTCTCATTAATAAACTTTCTAATTCTAATAAAGTTCCTAATTATTTCACACTCTGTAATCCCTTTCGTTCTAGTAGCTGTACTGCCTTGCTTGAGTTGATATCGATTACAAAAACTTTAGAAATTATCATATATATATATATATTGAATTAAGATTTTCAAGTTAGATATGTTTTCCTTAATTTTATATTAGTGTAACAGTCTTTTCTAACTCCCAATTCATTCACTCTTATAATTCTACAAACCGAGTGGGTGCCTACCGTATATATATATATATATATATATATATATATATATATATATATATGGTGGATTCTCCCGTCGAGGATCAGCAACTCAGTTCCTAGGAACCGACAGCCAGAAACCAGCACATATGATTTGATTATAGTGGTGAATGCTTTGTGCAGAACCAACCACACTTTTAGGAGGGCTGAATATAGAGACTGGTGCACTGCATGCCACGAGGTCCCCAAATGACCCTCCGAAGATTTTGAATTCAGAGTTGTCCTTCTCCTAGACCATTTGCCATCTAAGGCTATAGAACCCAGTCTGTCCTGCTAATGCCCCATAGCTGGAGAGAGAAGAGTATTCATACCTTTCCCAAGGGTATTAGAACATAAGTGAATGTAATGGATTCGACTGGCATTCGAACTCGGCTCTCCGAGACCTTAGTCCGAGCTGGATATATATATATATATATAGATAGAGAGAGAGAGATAGATAGATAGATAGATAGATAATATTAGTGGTAAATATACACATACATATGCAAAATATATAAATATATATACATAGGTGCGTACACATACATATATATTTTTTGAATAAAAAATTCCAAGAGGATAGAATCCTGGTAGAACTCAATGTCCAGGACAGAGTAAGGGTATAGTAAAAAGGCTTAAACACTAATATTCCATGGTCATAATTTATTCCATTGGAATTTGTAGGTCTGATGAATCGTATTTACGATTCCAGTGGAATAAATTATGACCATGGAATATTAGTGTTTAAGTCTTTTTATTACATATATATATAATAAATTTCCCAGAACCATTCTATGGATAAGAAAAATTGTTATAAGGCAAAATTGAAGCGAATTTCTATTTTTTTACTTTTTACACAATATAATAAAATTCCCAGAAAAATTCTTAAACAAAGACGTTTTTCCTACTGTCATTTTTATACCATTAAATATATTATATATATATATATAATGTGATATAGTGTATTCTGTCAGCTAATAAACCTGCACACACACACACATACACACACATATACATATATCAATTAAAACTGAATGAATAGATAAATAAGGAAAAGTATGAAAACTTTATAAATTTTACGTTTCAGTTTTTTTTTATTTAGCTTCATCAGAAATGTTTGGAAGTTCACAAAATTTCTCATGAACAAAGATAAATGATTATATTAAATATTTGATAACTCCTTTTATGCACTATCTCTTCCTGACATAGACCATCATACCTCTCAACAACTTCCTATCCTTTGTAGCTCTAAGTAATCTTTTTCGCCTTACTAACCCTTACAGTCCCTTTTCTGCAATCCATTTGTACAAGCTCTTTAAGTTACTCTCTCTTTTCATGTGCTCATTTTGATTTTTGTCCAGTGAGTGCCAAATTCTCCAAGACCTCTTTCTTCATTTTGTTTCCTAGAAATTTCAATTATCTCTTTCTGATTGTAATTATAAGTGAAAACTTCGTAGTTGCCCACAAACTCCGTCCGTGATATTCTCAGCATTTCCGTGCATAATCACATCCATGTTACCTCAAGTCTCCTCAACTTGTCAAGGATTCACAGGAAATTGATATTACATATATTTTCCATTGATTGATTTGTTTTCTACCGTTTATCAACATATTGCCGGTTGTTTAAAGCCATAAAATGTTTCTAGATTGTAAGACATATTTACAAGATAATAATGATTTTTAATGATACCAGTCCTATTAAGTAACCCATACTAGAAAAGAAGTGGTAGAGTCATACCTTTTTTCCAAGGGTATTTGCGCGTAAGTGAATGTAATTTACCCTACTGGAACTCAATCTCCGAACCGTAATTCATTACTGCACATCAAAGTTTACAGCACCTGGTATTCCCAGGTGGTCACCCATCATGGTACTAACCAGGCTAGACGTTGTTTAACTTCGGTGATCATATGTGAACCTGTGTTTCAACGCGATATGGCGTAATCCTGATATTACGTCGGAATTCAGCTCTGTTAAAATAATAATGAAATGATTACTCTTTAAAGCATTTGATGTATCCGCTTGAAAAACAATTATTCTTCAAATCAAAACCTTTATTTCTAAAGATGCCGGATACAGGAAAGCGATTGGAATTACTACCTTTATTTCAGTAGACATAATTTTTATTTGAGCGTTGTTCTTTGTGTTAATAATTTTCTATTTTGTCCTAATTTATATTCTGCGTTAATATCAGCTGTTCTGTTTCTCTTGTCCGCTGTACGCACAGGTAAAATGGCAGAAAAAAAAAGTCATAATTTATCAACAAATATTGATTGTGTTTATTCGTCTCGAGCAATGACAGGAAGCAAATTATTTGGACTTTCGGCGGCAGTTTCCTGTGTTGATGTTGTATTGGCCGATACAATGCTATTTCCCCAGATAAGTGTATATGACAGAATTGAATCCAAATTGTGGAAACCCGTAACTACTTCCGCCCATCCCTATTAATTATTAATATTTGTTAAATGTCTTCTGGGCGGCTGAAAGAGATTTTTTCTACTTCCGTTGTTAATTTGGCAGGCTCGTCATCGCACTCTTGGATTTTTTCAGCTACAAATCTGCGATATTTAATACTCGTAAATATGGAAAACATGTACCACTGTTTTATTCGATTCGTGTCTCTTTGTTAAAAGACATACTGAAAGCTTGAGATGACATTTCAGAAAATCCAAGCATAAAAGAAAAGCATATCTAAAATGATGCTTAAAGATGGAATAAATAAATAAGCCTGAAGGGTGTTCGTTCTCGCATTTTCTTTTAATCGGCACTAGCGATTACTGATCACATTCAGATAAAAGCTAGGATTTAAAACGTTGATTTTCAAGGCAATTATATTAGATCCCTCTGGAAAATTGTCATTATACTTCGTATACCTCTTACAAGGCAATAAAGGAAGGCAAGAAGAAAGGACTAACTGCTAACAGTAAGAAGACAGAACGCCTAGTTATCTGCAAAAAAAACAATCAAAATTACGAGCTGAATGTTGCGGATGGCGAAACCAAGCGGATATCTAAATTTAACGCTCTAGGTAATATAGTACTGACAACGAAAAATGTCACACAGAAAACTGAAGGGGCATAAGAACAAGAAATATCTTTCAGAAACTAAAAAAGTACTAAAAGATAGACAAAATGTTGTCCAGAACAAACGACAGGTGAACAGCTATATAATATCTAATCTACTTTATAGCAGCACTTAATCTATTCACGATACTTGATAATCTATTCACAGACGAAGAAGAGACTTGAATCGACTTATGTGTGGTTCACTGAGGAATGTTGAGAATCACATTTAGTACCAGTGATGCTAAATTTAAGGGTTTGAGGTTACTTTTAAAAATAAATATAATTGAATTACTAATGAGAAGTGTTGTGTAGAAAGACGACCGACGTCTCTACGTTAATCGTTGAACATACACTCGTCCATTCTCTAGTAACAATAGGAACAGGGTAGCAAGGTGTAGCGTTGAGTCGTACGCATTGCTGCACTGAACTACGGTATTCAATACGGTATTATTGTAATAGTAATCCATGTCCTACGTGTGATTAAATCTTTCTTTAATCATTTCTTGTTCCAGGGTTTTCCTTACAATATTATTAATCAGAAAATACGATCTTCTACGACCACTATAAAAAGAAGAAAGTCTATTTTGAAATTTAGGTGTTATGTGCTTTCAAATGCAGCGCAGTTTGACTGGTAATCCCCATCCTCTGTGCTGTGTGTGCCCGAAGTATTTATGCCAATATCCTATTCAGAGAAAGGTTAAAATGCTCACGCCCTTTACACCAATGACCCAATAAGAACCAATTATTTTTGTTGCGGTAAGAGCCATTTACCCTCCTTACTATCATGAATGGACTGATCCATTCATGATTAGTAGTCATGTGTAATTGTCTAAGAGGTAGAGGAAAATACTATTGCCGTAACTTGTCTAATTGAGTATTGAATATTATTATAACGACTGACTCCGTCGAATTAAGTGTTGTATCTTACCAGGCCCCACATCACAACAAGGTTCTATTTAAACGGTTATACAATTTGAGTATAACCATTTCTGGTTGTTAATGATCTATGTATTTGTTACGCGGTTAGTCCAAGTAACTGCCACTTCTTTTTTTACGTCACTTCTCATAGTATATCAGTGTCAAGATCAGTGGAATACGTTCCATTCCAATGGGTATTTGTAGAAAGACAAATGCAAACAACTCTAGCAGGAATTTGAATTCTGTTTACTAACACTGTTTTTTTTTCTTCTTCGCAACTCTTATGCTAATCAGCCCATTCGCTCCAAAATATTACAATGAAAACAAGAAAGCAACCGGAGAGAGCATATATCCGCCAACACTATTGTCCTTAAAGACCGAAATACCCGATTATTCCTTGTAATACCTCCCACAAAATTCTAAGAACTGTTTGAAATTTAATTATCACGGGATTTCATTAAGATCTTATGAAAATATTTTGTAAACAAAGAAATAGAAAAACATGTAAAGACATGAGTAAGTTCATTAGATTTATTTTTGAAAACAGGCAAAACGAAAAAAAAAAAAGAAGAGAAATACATCATGAAAATCTTTGTAAAGCTATTTTATAATGACAATTGCACAAGTAATTCTCTAATGTAACTGTGTCTTTATAGTAACATTTACTAATTCCATGCAAATATTTACAGCAGTTTCGACTCCGTAGAAAAGGAATTCTATGACAGCTCTTTTCTTTCAATGTGTCTCAACAGGAAAAACTATTTTGAAAGAGATTTATGTGAAGGAAAAGAGAAAGTAAGTCTATATTATTATTCCTGACTTATAGAAATTTTTATAGAGAAAGCTGCCTTTCAAAAGCTAAGCAAAGTATTAAGAAACTGGAAAATTTCGTTACAAAGAAACAAAGAAAAGTGTACTAAATTGTCATGTAATATCAGTCCTCCTATATGGCATTGAATGCTGGACAATCTTCTCAAAGATGAAAAAGAGGATGCAACAGAAATGTGGTTCTACAGAAGGATGCTGAAAATATTATGGACCGAAGGTGTGAGCAACAACGAAAATGGAAAAAAGAGACACTTAGCATGATGAATAGACAGTTGAAATTTCTAGAGCAGCTAATGGGGAAAGAGAGCTTCGAAATTTTGATACAGATTGAATGATAGCGGGACAGAGGAAAACCGCATAACCTACCTAGAGAGCTTGTGTAACCTGATGGCGGAAGAAGGTTTAAGAGAGATAAGAAAAAGACGAGATTTATTAAGAGTTACAAATGACAGGAAATTGTGGAGAGCCATGATTGCCAACGTCCTGAGGAGACACAGCACATTTTATACATGATGCGGCAGAAACAGCTCCCACAGAAATACCTTCCATATAAGGGTAAGACATTAGCCAGATGAAGACGCCATTGCCTCTAATGACTTACTTTTATACGGGGAAGTATTTATGGGAGGTATTTTTGCTTACCCTGTAGCTTTAAAATATCTCGGACTTATATTTAAAGTTGAAATAGAACAGATATTACATTTTGAACGATTCTAATATGAATTTATGCTTTTTCGCTTGAAATCATCTTATTTTACATCCCGTAAACTCTTAAAATATCTTAATATTATTGTCATGAAATGAATGTGTGTGTGTAGCACCAGTAACTGGATTCTTCATTTGAGAATTAAAATGCTCGTCATTTCTTCTCTACTCCACATAATGTTTGAAAGCTTGGATACTGTTCTGAAATACTGTCTTCCTCTATTTCTCAGTCATCCACTAGGTTTTGAAACATCGATTTCAGTACAATCACCGAAGTTAAGAAACATTGAGCCTGACCAGTACCTACACCTTTGTGCAAATTAACTAAAACAACTGCTTAATTTCCTTTCTTTCACCATTCGGTCAGTTTTAGACCCACTGGAGTAACAGGGCGTAATCGTTTTCTATTTGCAGTGGTGTGCAGTAATATGAATTTATTTTCGGAGTGTATGATGAAATTTGTTTGGCCTTGAAAAATATTGCGTCATCCGTGATTGCATCAGATTTTTATCACGCCCAGACACTATTGTCTCGACTATCGATTAGTTGTCCATTGTCTGCGAATCGTAGAATCTTAGGAATCGTACGATAATTGTAACGCTGCAAGAACACACTGGCAAGCCTTACCAGTGAGCAAATCAAAGTATTATAGACTGGCCCGGAAAATCTTCTGATTTAAATCCAATCGAGAATTTGTGGTTAATCTGAAATGAACAACTTCGTGGAGTGGACATAGGAAGGACTAATATATGTATTAGGAAGGACTAATATATGTTTCATCGCAAAAATAGGAAACAAAAATAAATAATAACGGAAATATTCGTTTTGTTTCAATTACTTTGCACAAGGGTATAGATGGGTGACTGTTTGAGAATACCAGGTGCTGTAAGCATATATGTGCGGGTTGGGTAATGGATAACGGCTCGATATTGTTAGTCAGTGAACCGGGTTCCAATTTCTTTGCATTCGTTATATTTATTTACAAGTGAATACCCTTGACGACAATATGAATCCACTTTTTCTCCACCTCCCGTTATAGGTAGGTCAAGACCAATTTTTCAATTTTAGTAAGATTTGTATTACTAAATCATTATTATCTCAAATAAATTCTTATAATCTAAAAATATTTTGCTGGCTATAAATTGTCTGCAAAGGGTTAATAAAACGTACAAAATGAATAAATCAAGCAATCTATCATCCACTCATTAGCTTTTATTCTCTCCGAAATTTCCTGCACGTCCGTTGACAAATCACTGGGCTGCAACAATAATACAAAACATGGACATGCAAAATAATCGTAAAATATTTCTGCCTCGGAGAATATCAAAACATTTCCTAGAACTTCTGTCAGACAATTCTATTGAACGGCATTGTGCACTTTCTTATTGTAAAACATCAGTTTTTATACTGTATCGACAAATAT